GAAAAGCCTACAGTTAATATCATATTCAGTAGTAAAAATTTAAAAACTTTTTCTCTAAAATTTGGAACAAAATAAGGATACCATCTTTCTTCACTTCTTTTCAATGTTGTACTAAAAGTACTAGCCAAATCATTAGGCAAGAAAAAAGAAACAAAAAGCATTCAAATTGAAAAGGAAAAAATAGAAATTTTGTTTACAGAATTATATGTGTTATATAAAAAAACCTTAAAGATTACACCCCCCCACACACACACACATGATAGAACTGATAAGTTCAGGGCTGGGGTTTTAGCTCAGTGGTAAAGCACTTGCCTTGCACACGTAAGGCCCTGAGTTTGATCCTTAGCACAATATAAAAATAAATAAATAAAAATAAAGATAATGTGTAAAAAAAAAAACCAAAACTGATAAGTTCAATAAAATTGCCTGAGACAAACATATAGAAATCAGTTGTATCTTTGTACACTAATAATGAACAATCTGAAAAGGAAGTAAGAAAACTATCTCATTTACCATAGCATCCAAAAGAATGAAATACTTAGAATTTAATAAACTTAACCAAGAAGGTGAAATACTTCTATACTTAAAAAATAATGAGATTATAATGCATGTTTTCCTACTTTAAAAATGCAAAGATATTATAGAGCTCTGAGATTCCTAGATTTTTTTAATATATATTTTTTAGTTGTAGATGGGCACAATATCTTTATTTTATGTATTTTTATGAGGTGCTAAGGATCAAATCCAGTGCCTCACACATGCTAGGCAAGTGTTCTACCACTGAGCTACAAACCCAGCCCCACGATTCTTAGATTATTGACAGAATATCCTGGAAAGCAGCAATTGAAGCTTTTTAAAATCAGTTGTTTAATATGGCATATAAAAGATAATGGTTACACTTTCAACTTAGTTCTGAAGAAATGTTCTATTTATACATGTCAAAATAGAAATAATAGGTAGTTCAATTATTTCAATTATATGGGATTCAATTATCTTGAAGGTACAATGATAACTAAACCTCATTATCCTCTCTAAAGAAAACACATTGGAAGGCAAATACATAAAGCAATATGATAAATATTTTTCAATATATACTGATTTTTTTTTTGCTATATTGTAAGTAGTAAAGAGTGAGCACTAATTGCTTTGGCTAGCATTTGAAGGAGTATGTTGAATAGGAGTGGAGAAAGAGGTCATCCCTGTCGTGTTACTGTTTTTAGAGGGAATGTTTTCAATTTTTCTCCACTGCAATGATGTTGGCCTTGGATTTAACATATATAGCTATTATAATGTTGAGGCATGTTCCTACTATCCATAGTTTTTCTAGTGTTTTGAACATAATGAATGTTGAATTTTATCAAATGCTTTTTTGGCATCTATTGAGATAATCTTGTGATTCTTGTCTTTAAGTATATTGATGAGATGAATTAAATTTATTGATTTCCATATGTTGAATCAGCCTTGCATCCCTGAGATGAACCTCACTTGATCATGGTACACTATCTTTTTAATATGTTTTTTTATGCTGTTTGCCAGGATTTTATTAAGAATTTGTGCATCTATGTTCATCAGGGGCATAGATCTGAAGTTTTCTTCTTTGATTTGCCTTTGTCTGGTTTGGGTATCAGGACGATACTAGCTATTAGACAAAAGAAAGAAAGGGATATGAATAGGAAAAGAAGAGTGCAAATTATCCCTATTTGCTGATGACATAATTTTATATTTAGAAGACCCAAAAACTTCACTAGGAATCTTCTAGAACTCATAAATAAAATCATCAAAAAGTAGCAGTATATAAAATTAACACTCATATGTCAGTTGTGTTCCTATACACCAATGATAAATCAGCTAAAAATCAGGAAAACTTCCCCTTCACAATATCCTCAAAAAAAAAATTGGGAATCAATCTAAAAAAAGACGTGAAACTCCTCTACAATGAAAACTACAGAACACTAAAGAAAGAAATTGAAGAAAACCTTAGAAGATGGAAAGATCTCAAATCTTGGATAGGCAGAATTAATAATTTCAAAATGGCCTTACTGCCAAAAGCACTATACAGATTTAATGCAATTCTTATTAATATTCCAATGATGTTCTTCATATAAATAGAAAAATCAGTCATGAAATTCATTTGGAAAAGTAAGAGGCCCAGAGTAGCTAAAGCAATCCTTATCGAGAAATGTGAAGCAGGAGGCATCACGATACTTGACCTTAAATTATACTACAGAGCTATAGAAACCAAAATGGCCTGGTATTGGCACAGAAACAGTCATTAAGACCAATGAAACAGAATAGAAGTCACAGAGACAACCCCACTAAATACAGTTATCTCATCCTAGACAAAGGTGCCATAAACATACGTTGGAGAAAAGGTAACCTCTTCAACAAATGGTGCTAGGAAAACTGGAAATCCATATGTAGTAGAATGAAAGTTAAACCCTTCTCTCACCCTGCAAAAAAATCAACTCAAAATGGATCAAGAACACAGGCATTAGACCGGAGACCCTATGCCTAGTAGAAAAAAATATAGGCCAGAATTCCTCAAAAAGACTTCTAAAATACAAGAGATAAAATCACGAATCAGAAAATGGGATGGTATCAAACTAAAAAGCTTCTTCACAGCAAAGGAAACAATCAAGAATATGAACAGATTGCCTACAGAATGGGAGAAAATCTTTACTACCAGCACCTCAGATAGTGTATTAATCTCCAGGTTATATAAATAACTCAAAAAACTTAACACCAAAACAAAAACAAACAAACAAGCAAAAAAACAAATACTCCAGTAAATAAGCAGGCTAAGGAACTGAATAGGCACTTCACAGAAGAAGAAATACAAATGGGCAAAAAAATATATATATGAAAAACTTTTCAACATTCTCTAGCAATTAGAGAAATGCAAATCAAAACTACACTGAGATTCCATCTTACCCTATTGAGAATGGCAATTATCAAGAATACAAGCAACAATAAATGTTGGTAAGGTTGTGGGAAAAAGGTTCACTTTTACATTGCTGGTGGGGCTGCAAATTGGTGCAACCACTTTGGAAAGCAGTATGGAGATTCTTTAGAAAACTTGGAATGGAACCACCATTTGGCCCAGTTATTCCACTCCTTGGCATAAACATGAAGGACTTAAAATCAGTACACTACAGAGATACAGCTACTTCAATGTTTATAGCAGCTCAGTTCACAATAGCCAAGCTATGGAACCAACCAAGGTATCTTACCACAGATGAATGCATAAAGCAAATGTGCTATATATACACAATAGAATATTACTCAGTCATAAAGAACAATGAAAATATGGCATTTGCTGGTAAATGGATGGAACTGGAGAATATCATGTTATGTGAAATAAGCCAGTCCCCCCAAAACAAATGCAGAATATTCTCTCTGATATATGGATGCTAATTCACAACAAGGGAGGGAAGATTAGAAGTTCATTGGACTAGACAAAGGGGAATGAAGAGAAGGGAGGTGGGATGGGAATAAGAAAGCCAGTAAAATGAATTTAAGGTATCTTTTCTATCCTTACATATGAATACATGACCAATGTAATTCCATATACAACCACAACAATGGGATCCTAAATGGAACAAATTATTCTATTTCTGTACAATATGTCAAAATGTATATTGTGTACATCTTGAAAGAACAAATAATTTTTTATATTTTTATTTATTTTTTATATATTTTAAAATTTATTTATTCTAATTAGGTATATATGACAGCAGAATGCATTTTGATTCATTGTACACAATTGCAGCACAACTTTTCATTTCTCTGGTTATACAATGTGGCATTGCATCATATGTGCATTCATATGCGTACCTAAGGCAATGATGTCCATCTCATTCCACTATATTCCCTACCCCCATGGCCCCTCCCTTCCCCTCCCTCCCCTTTGCCCAATCAAAGTTTCTCCATTTTCCCATGCCCCTGCCCCCAATTATGGATCAGCATCCACTTATCAGAGAGAACATTTGGCCTTTGGGTTTTGCGGATTGGCGTACTTTGCTTAGCATGATATTCTCCAGCTCCATCCATTTACCTGCAAATGCCATAATTTTATTTTCTTTTAATGCCAAAAGAACAAATAAGTTTTTTAAAAATGTCACAGCCTTCTCCAGTGGGAGAGTGAGTACTAGACTGAAAGACAGCTGGTCTGAACTTTTTAAGATATATTAATATTATGAAATATAAAAATTGCAAAAGACTATGGAATTATGAAAACTAAATGCAATATAATATTCTTAGTAGATTTTATTGGGACAATTAGAAAATTTGCACTGGAATATATATGAAGCTAATGGTATTGTACCAATTAAAATTTATTGATTGATAATGTTATTGTAGTTAAAGAGGAAAATGTTCTAAGAAGACATTGCTTAAGTATTTATGGGGAAAGTATCTTGATGACTACAACTTATGGGTATATATATATATTCACCCTTGTGTGTGTGTGTGCACGCACGCACTTGGGAGAAAAAGAGCACACTAAAGCAAATGTGGAGAAATGGTAATCATTTGTGAATCTAGGTGAACATTTTATGAGTATCCATCCTATTACTTTTCAGCTAACAAAAAAGTCTGAAATTTTTTAAAAGAAAGAATGAGGGCTATGGAATTCAGAATTCAGACTGTGTGGTGTTTGAATCCTGAGATGGTCAGCTATAGGTTATGTGATCTTTGGCAAGATCCTTAGCTTTTATAAATCCTCATTCCTTCATCTGTAAAATGAGTATAACAATAGTTTCTGTCACATTGGATAGTCATGAAAATTAAATAATATTGTACATGTGAATGTACATGTGAATTAACTACTTTTAGTTATAACTCAGGAGAAACAAATTGTTTAGGTGACACATCATAACTAACTGTCCTGGTGGGGCCAAGTCACTGTAGGATAGAATGCCTCCTTCACAGAGCTCGTGCCATAGAAACCGCAGGCTCTTTCAGAACTGCCAGGTTGATTTTTTTTTTAATTCATCCCCTAGGAGGCTTACAAACTGCTAAAGGCTTCACTGAAGTCCCAGATCATCAGCTATGGTGACTGTAGCAAAAAGGTGGCTGAAACTTTTTATAACTTGGGCAGGATCTGCTTTGCCAAAGGAGAGCTCAGAAAGGCAATTCAACTGCTAAGGAAGGTGAGCCAACGAAGGTGAATTCTGGCTGGTTTGTTACATTTTATCCTGGGCTTATCAGCAGAATTGAAGAGTGATGTTTGTATATATGTATGTATATCTCTTCCCTTTACTTCCCTTCCAGGGTGTACAAACCATTAAAATGCTGACAGAACAAAGGCTAGAGACTTAGTAAGATAGATAGGAATGCCTCTACCTAACACCTAGTTTTGCTCAAAGTCAGAGAAGAAGTCTATAAAGATCAACTAACACTCAAGTGAGCAGAGGGTTGAGTGACAGGCAATCCACATATTGCATTGATAAACATCAAGTTTGGACAAATTTTTGTCTCATTTTAGGTTAGCTTAATGTAAACAAAAAAAAAAAAATCACAAATAACAGGAAAAAGGTACCTTACTTGAAGAGAACCACCGTAAATATCCATGGTTCTTTTTCATGAAGTGTCTGCTAAACATCTTCTGGGGCTTTCAGCTCTCTTGGAGAGTCTGGTGAGCTTTGGTCCCCTTTCCTTTATAATGCCCAGAAACAGTCAAAACAATAATCTGGGATAATCATAGGGTTAACCTCACTTGTTATCCTTTTCTTAGGGATCATGGTCTTTTATTGTCTGATGTATGGTATCTTAAAAATTAAAAAGTTTTAAAAATTAATGCACTTTTGTCTACTTTTTTCTTTTTTTTTTTTGTTGATTCAGGTATAGAGAAAATCTGGTCCCTACCATTCCATGTTGGCTAGAAACAAAGTTCAGCAATAAAATTCAAAATGGAAACCTACCTAAAGTAAAATTATGCAGCATGAGAAAACAAGGCAGCTTTGGGATATATGCCTAAATCTCATTTTATTTAATTTCTATCCATTAGTTATAGCTATGTGGAAAATACTAATGGAATCCACTACTGTAGTCATGTTTTAAGCAGGGATGCTATCAGTTTGGGGCTGTTACTTTAGTTATCAGCAGCCATGTTTGGTAGAGGAAGGTGAAGCAAACTGGAGTATGCATGCAGCATGAGTGTTATAGAAGGTAACTAAAGAGGCTTCAGTGACAGTTCTTTTCCTAATTGGTAGGGAACCAATGACATGTAATATAGGCATTCCAAATTTAAAGTTATGATATTCCAGTTCCACTGGTCCTTTTCTGAGTTAATTTGCATTTAAGGTACTTGCTATAGGATTCTCTTTAACCTATTATGTTTCTCACTTCACATACAGTGTCTGATGATTCAAATTCTTGTATATGGAAGTGAGCATAGTAAAAGCAAAGAGACAAAAGGCCTCCTTACCAAACTGCAGAGGTAAGTTCTGTTCCTGGGCATCAACCAGATCATCAGTGTGAATATACATCTAGCAAAGGCCTCTCACTGATTAAACCAGTGTTTAAAGTCAGCTTCTTCTCTGCTGTGTCTAAAAGACCTGACAAGAACAATTTTAAGGTGGAAAAGTTTATTGGGGGCTTATAATTTCTGAGGTCTCAGTCCCTAGATCACCAGTTCCATACCTTGGGGCTGGAGGTGAGGCAAAACATCATGACAGAAGAGTGTGGTGGAGGAAGGCAGATCAGGACATGGCCACCAACAAGTCAAGAGAGACTCTCCTCACCACAGACAACATATGTATCTACAGGTACACCCCGATGACCCAGCTTCTCCAGTTACACTCTACCTACCTACAGTTACCACTCACTACAGTTATTGCAGGATTAATGCACTGATTAGGTTAAGGTTTTGATAACTGAATCGTTTCACCTCTAAGTTTTCTTGCATTATCTCACACATGAGCTTTTGGGAAACACCTAATATTGAAACCATACAACCAGATGGTGATGATTTACTTCTGTCATTGTTACTAGTAAGACAAAATTATGCCTCTGCTATAGATTTAGCTAAATCCTGTGCTGAGGGTAACCAACTTATTTCTTGTATTCTCTTAGAACACAGTATTGTAGCTAGGCACAGTGATACCCACCTGTAATCCCAGTGACATAGGAGGCTGAGGCAGGCAGATCACAAGTTTGAGGCCAGCCTCAGAAACTTAGCAAGAACCCTGTCTTGAGACAAAAAAATAAAAAGGGCTGGGGATTTAGCTCTATGGTAAAGTGCCCCTGGGTTTGATCCCTAGTACTAAAAGTAAACACACACAGTTTATAGGTTTCTGCTACAGTAATAATGTTCTTTATAATATCTTTTTCAATGCCAAACATTATAGCTAAATTCTGCAAGTTAATGCAGTGTGATAGATATGATATGGATTTATACAAATTCAATTATTTTTCTTTTTTTTGTCAAAAGAAGGAGCTTTATTTATTTATTTTTAGGAGCTTTATTTTATGTGACATAAAAACATAATTGCTTTTACTTTCTACCACTATAATAGCAACATTTTATCTAGAGTTAGATCCAAGCTAAGCTTCTGGGATTTGACATAACAAATTGCTTCCCATATGTGTCAGTTATTTTTCTTGATGAAGGTACAAAGTCCATGTTCCTAAATGTATGGTACATTCATTGGGAATTTACTTATTTTCAACGTTAGTGATGAGAGAACTTGTTTGTATTCTGTTCTTGAATGTTTAGATATAAGCTGAACAGAATATATGCAGACTTGCCTCATTCTTTAGCCGTGGTATATTACTGATATTATTTACCTCTACATGATGTTGACACTGAAATGTTCTCTGAGAAAGAGGAGAATTAAAATTAGTTGAATATTTACTAACTGCCTATCTCTCTAGTGGAGATAGATCCTATTCATAAAGTATTTTATTTAAGCAAGCCTTACAAATACCCAATTTGAAAGCTCTCATTTGATAGAAGGGAGCCTGATGTTCTGTAAAGGAATTTGCCTAAAGCCTCTGTCTTGGACATTCAAGGAAGTGCTACCCTTTAGACGATGTGCTTTTTTCTGAGAGCCTCAAACAAAGAGGGTCATCCTTATTGGGTGAGAGTTAGGACCCTGATTGCATTTACCACATGGGACTCACAATCCATCTCTTCTCAGTGGGCTCACCAGGGAGACAAAATGAGAAGGAAGAATACTTTCAGCCCATCCTCTCTGCACCAACCTCAGTCAGAGCCACATGTAAGGCAGGACCCACAGAAGGCTAGCTCCTTTTAAAAAAATCCTTAACCAGAAGATGAGGTTCTCCAGCTTCCCTCTGTGATGCCAAAGTTAGGAGTATAGAGAGGTACAGCCAAACGGCAACACAGAGAACTTTGTTCCTTGCCTGTCAGTGAATTGAAAGCATATTTGCTTAATAAGTAACCATAAAATATGAACAATTATCATATCAAAGTCCTTCATTTCCCTGACATTGTACTATATTAATATGTGTTATTTCTGATTGATAAACCACACTGCTTGTTAGGTATTTTTTGTCTCCCATGATGAAACAGAGGCTCAGAATATTTGTATATCTTGTCAGAAATCTCCATTTTGGTAAGTGTGGTAAGATTTGACGAGATCAGGCGCGTTCAGGGTGGTATGGCCGTAGACAAAGTGTGGTAAGATTTGAATCCAAGTTGATTAGATTTCAAAACTGCCCTTATTTTACTATATAATATGTATTCAGATTTTGATGATGGGTACACATATGCACATTACCTGTTCATCAAGTAAGACTCCAGAACCCATTTTACATATGAAGAAATGAGAACTGACTTACTTGAGTTAATTTGCCCATGAAGAGGCAGAACTGGAATTTTAATACAGATCTCTTACTCTAGGATACATTCTCTGCAGGTGATGTAGCTTGCACTCTGAAGGTAGACTTCCTGGATTCAAAACTCAGGCTCTAACTCTCAGTCCTCTGACCTCAGAGAAGTTACTTAATCTCCTTCAGCTTCTAGTTATGCATTGGTAAAATAATAGTACCTTCCTCAGCAAGTGGGTTTTCAGAAATAATGAGATCATATATTACAGTGCTTAGATCAGGGCCTGGCAGGTTTTAAATGCTCAATGAATGTTGACATCATAATAATGAAATAACAATAATAACAGTAATTGTCTTTCTGAGGTGCTAGAGATAATAAATAGGTCAGAATGTTTAAATAAGAGGCTTCTGAGAATCACCCTATTATTATTTTATATTAAGAGTATTGGTAAGAAATATAAATAACTAGAGTCAGACCTGTGATCTTTTTTTTATTATTTTATTTTTTCCCCAAAAGATTGGCATATGAGGAAATTGCATGGGAATGGAAGGTGACCCTCATTGTTATACAAAATTACATATAAGAGGATATGAGGGGAAAGGAAAAAAAATCAAGGGAGAGAAATGAATTACAGTAGATGGGGTAGAGATAGAAGATGGAAGGGAAGGGGAGGAGGGATAGTAGAGGATAGGAAAGATAGCAGAATACAACAGTCACTAGTATGGCAATATGTAAAAACGTGGATGTGTAACCGATGTTATTCTGCAATCTGTATATGGGGTAAAAATGGGAGTTCATAACCCACTTGAATCAAATGTATGAAATATGATATGTCAAGAGCTTTGTAATGTTTTGAACAACCAATAAAAAAATAAAATAAAGATTGGCATATGAATATCTATTTATTTATTTATTTTAAATTTAAAAATTTTATTTATTCTAATTAGTTATATATGATAGCAGAATGTGATTCAATTCATATTACACAAATAGAGCACAATTTTTCATGTCTCTGGTTGAATACAAAGTAGAGTCATACCATTCGTGTTTTCATACATTAACTTAGGGTAATGATGTCCATCTCATTCCATCGTCTTTCTACCCCTGTGTCTCCTTCCCTCTCCTCCCTCCCCTTTGCCCTATCTAAAGTTTGTTCCTTCCATGCCCCCCCCCATCTCCATTATGAATCAGCATCTGTATATCAGAGAAAACATTCCACATTTAGTTTTTTGGAATTGTTTTACTTCACTTAGCATTATATTCTTCAACTCCATCCATTTAACTGCAAATGCCATGATTTTATTCTCTTTTAATGCTAAGTAATATTCTATTGTGTATATATAACACATTTTCTTTATCCATTCATCTACTGAAGGGAATCTAGGTTGGATCCACAATTTAGTTATTGTGAATTGTGCTGCAATAAACATTGATCTGGCTGTGTGCCTGTACTATGCTGTTTTTAAGTCCTTTGGGTATAAACCAAGGAGTGAGATAGTTGGGTCAAATGTTGGTTCCATTCCCAGTTTTCCAAGGAATCTCCATACTTCTTTCCAGATTGTTTGCACCAATTCGCAGTCCTACCAGCAATGTAAGAGTGTGCCCTTTTCCCCACATCCTCGCCAACACTTATTGTTGTTTGTATTCTTAATAGCTTCCATTCTGACTGGAGTGAGGTGAAATCTTAATAGTAGTTTTGATTTGCATTTCTCTAATTGCTAGAGATGTTGAACATTTTTTCATGTATTTGTTGATTGATTGTATATCATCTTCTGAGAAGTGTCTGTTCAGTTCCTTGGCCCATTTATTGATTGTATATTATTTGTTTTTTGATGTTAAGATTTTTGAGTTCTTTATATATCCTAGAGATTAGTGCTCTTTCTGATGTGCATGTGGTAAAAATTTGCTCCCATTCTGTAGCCTCTCTATTCACCTCACTTGTGGGAGACCAACCTTGTATGTGACTGAGTCACACTCCCCAGCTGGGTGCTGAGGTACTCAGTCACAGAAATGTGGCAGATCTTTCCCCACCCTTCTTGGGTTCGAGGGGTGTCTCGTGCATGGGTGTGTCTTGCTACAGCCCCGTGGGTAAAGCTATGCTCACCTGTTGCTTTGTAATATAATCCCTTGCCCTATTTAGGATAGAATCTTTCATGGAAGTGCCTTGTGTGTGTCCCCTTCTCTTACTGTGCCCTTGGGTTTGGCCTACCCAGGTGTCAGTCAACCTGCTGACAGTGGACATCATGAAGATAGACTCAGCCCCCTGAAACCTGACGCCTTGCCTCATTTGAATAGCTTCTCCTCAATAAAAGGGGTCAGCTTGTGCTCTCACCCTCTCTCTTCTTGCGGACCCTTAAGGTCAGAGGAGCTGTCACAGCAACCCCAAAGAAAAAGGTATTTGTGTCTCTTGTGTGGTTATTTCCTGCAGCCCAAGCACAATTCAATTGGAGTAAACCCTGAGCCTTTTAGTCGCAAGAACAGATTGCTTCTTTTGCTGGGAAGAAGTTTTTGAGTTTGAATCTAACCCATTTATTGACTCTTGATTTTAATTCATATTTTATAGGAATCTTATTAAGAAGTCAGGACCTAATCTGACATGATGGAGATTTGGGCCTACTTTTTCTTCTATTAGTTGCAAGGTCTCTGGTT